TTCTAGATTTATAGACAGGAAATGGGGGGGAATTAAAATAAAATTGTTTAAATAAACATAAGCAAAAATATCTTTATTATTTTTTCATAATTTTGTGATGCTTATCTAAGGCATTTGTATCAGTCATTGACTTGCCAACTGCAGAAGGAAATCCCAAGTGGATGAAACCTATTTGAATACAGTTTTTAAACATTATAATAATTGGTAGAGTAATTATTTTACACTGGAAATGCACTTTAATATTTTATATACTATCGTTGTTTAATCCGTGCCATTTTGTTCTTTACAAAATGGGATTGCTACAGTACAACAACTTGTATTGTAATCAGCAGCTGGAATTAATTGGAAATACTAATTAAGCCCTACAAAATCAAAATATATGAAACCTAATATTAAATATATATAGCTATAAATATATAAATCTACTATCTGAAAGTAGTAGTCTTCTGGACTTATTTTGCATGTCTGTAATTGACCACATCAGACAGGAGGCATAGAGAATTAAGCTCCTGATAAATGATTCTGTTATGCTATGCTGGCTGTTTTGATTATTTCTAACACCAGTTCCTGCCTCTTGGCCTCTTATTTTCCCTTTTCTGTTCTCTCTTTCAGTTTAAAGGGTAGAATGCAAATAGCCTTGTTGTGGAGGATTTTAAGTTGGAGGGAATGTTGTAAGGTGCTGTGTTGATCTCCCAGCATTGCTTAGGGGTCTTGTAAAAGTGCACTACCATAATATAGGAAAGTCCTTGAGACTGGAACAAAAGTAATTTCATTAATCTCACTGAACATTGCTATTTATTATTCTTCCACTGGTAAAGAGAGATTAGAATCGGGTTTCTGTGATTTCTCAGCATGACTCAAGATTGTTTTGTAATAGCAATGATAATGCAAAAAGAAATCCATATAAGAAAATTACTGAAGCAGCTGTATAGTTTAGGAAAAATTCAAAAGTCTGTAGCAATATCTGAGTACACTTAACACAGTTTTAACAGCAGTGTCTTTTCCAGCTCACAGATCCACATTCAATAAGTAGCTCCTTCCACACATGTGATATTACATAGCGCAAATTTGTCACTTGTAGCAAGGTGCCACTAAAATGGCAATTTTAACTTTTGGTTATTTATTTGGTGCCAAAAACTCTTGTGACACACAACCCTCATCATGACACAGAGACTCTCAGAAGCTCACAGAATTTTTCAGCAATTTCTGATGCAGCACTGCATCACAGTAACTGCTGGTGTAGGATCAGATCCACCTGGAGCTTAGTGCCCTGCCCTGGTTATTTATGTGTAAATAAATATTTAGCAACAGCACGGGGTAGCAGCAATGACAGAAATGAGTGCACAGGCAGAGGATCGGGGGATTCTCAAAATCAGCTGGCTCTGTGGTAAGTGTTGAGGTTCTCATCTGTTGAGTTTCATGGATGAGAAAAGCAAGCCAATTGTCCTTTAAATTAAAACCTGATTAATTGATATCATTGTTGTAACCATAAATACATAGAGATGCTCCAAATTTAATTTTAAAATAGTTTGCTTTAAAAAAAATCCATCTGAAACCTTTTTCTCTGGCATGATCTCATGATCACCCTAGGGGAGGGAGGACTTTGGGTTTGCAGTCACATCACATTTCAAAACGAACCCCGGCTGCCCTTACAGAGCTGTCTGCTCTCTCTGGTCCGGCACATTGCGTGGCTCGCAGCGGCCGTGCGAGCCGTGGTGGCCCCTGGCCCTGTGCCCTGTGCCGGGGCCCGGCCCTTTGTTCCGCCGGGATCCGCGCTTTGTGCCTGCAGTTTCCCACATCTCCAGTAGATGCCCCCAGAGACCATTAAACCCCGAGATCGGCTCCGCTCCGGGCACCGCAGAGGGCAGGCAGTCTTCTCTCATTTCGCTCCTGGAAGTAACTTAATTGTTCCAAGGAAACCTCGAGTCAGCGCGGACGAATGCAGAAAAAGAAACTCGCTTGTTTAACAATAAATCATAATTTATTAGGTAGCAAGGTTCGAAAGTGTTTTGTGTAATGCTTATCAATGTAGAAACATACTACACTAATGCTAACAGTGGGATTTTATAAAATAAATCACAGAATCATAGAATATCCTGAGTTGGAAGGAACCTTAGGTATCATGTTTTGATATTGATATTAGAAATCAAGTAATCTTTATTTATCTAAAACAGGAGTTGTTCTGCTTAAACTCAGATTTTACAGGCTGCATGACATCATAAAAAGCAGGGTGGAAAGTGTTTTGAGGACTGAGGATTTATAGTTTATCTCAAGGTATCATGAAAAGTTTGCTGCTCTCATCTGCACCATGCCTCTGTTCAAAAGGAGTGTTTGATGGGGAAAAAAAGGACCCTGGAATTTTCATCTGGCAATGCTGATAACTGTAACTATCTTAGATTTCATTGCCGTGTCAAGCTCTTTTAGGGGATACAAATACCATTTATCCCCATAATACCATTAATCTCTTACCCAATTTCACTGTTTGTGTGTGATCAGTCACTTGTAGCTTATATATTACAGAAATGTAAGGAATAGTATTATTATATAGTATTACAATAACATTGTATTATAATGTTTTTTATTATTATTATTATTATAATACAATAGTATTATTATTGTGTGCTTTGTGCATAATAACTGACATGACTTTCATTTTTATGCCACTCAATTTGAAGGGTTTTACAATAGCTTCATTGCTTGTGTGCTAAAATCAGTCCTCTTTGCCTCAGAAAAAAAGTGCTCTGCACAGTAGAATTATCTCAGCATTATTTCAATTTCTCCATTAATTGGGATGGGATTTATTAAAACACGCTTGACACTGATTTTTAAAAATTACATGTTTTACTATATGCTTTGTTTTCCTGTACTGGTTTGCTAATAATGCTTTCCTGTGGGGAAAATATGCTTTGACTTCAAGTAAAATACATCAGTCTACAGAAAATAACATGGACAGAGTTTTTCTATTTGTATGAATACCAGTTCTGTGCCCAGTGAGTGTTAAAAATTACCTGAATGGCATTTGGGGTAGTGACTGCTGAGATCTTTTAGCACTACTTCCTTGTTATTTCTAATACATCTCCTGATCTATTGCAGGTGCACACACAAACATACACAGATCCCATTGTATAAATAAACAGGCATGTGTGTGCCTGCTATGCAGATTGTTATTCCACTTCTCTGAGTTAGATTACTGTAGCATTCAGTCCTAGGCCTTTGGAAATTGGTAGGAATTTTTTACCTATGCTCTTCAGGTTTGTTTTTGTTTTATTACATAGTATTTTTGAACAGTAAAGAAAAAGATATTCCATATAAAAAACAGAGAATACATTGCATAGTATTAGCATAGTATCTTTACAGTATTTTGAAGCTATATACTGTACATTTGGTATATGGCAAATATAGCATATTCTAGCAAATGAAAACTTAAATGTTTAAACATATTTTTCGTATACTTTTATATGATAAATGTTGCAGATTTTTATAGTACAGAATAGTTATATCTTTTCCCTTATCTGTGTGAGAAATGTGTGGTTTTCAATCTGAAAAAGCATCCATTTATATATTAAACACAAATTCAGTACTGTCTGGTCTAAATTGTATCAGGATTATTCAATATTTTTATGCTCAGTTCTGCAAGTGAAATGTACAAAGTACATGTGAAAGATTAATATGCATCTGTGTAGTAAGAGATTCTATTTTAATTATATCAAATATGAAATAATGCAGATTATTTTCTTCCTACATCTTACATTGCTGTCTATTTTATTGACATCTAGCTAAGAAGTTTTTCACATGACTTCCATTTTATCAACATTGTTAAAGAATTGCAGTAGCTGTTTTTAAGATCAAGGTATTAGTATCATTGGGCTGTTATTATTGCACCTGAATTTATTACATACAGTATAAATCTCATTTTTCAAAATTCCATCTTTATTTTAAAGCTAAGAAATTTGAATTTAAATTGCTTTTAATCTAAAAGAATAGTCTTGAAAACAGTTTGGTTACTTCATGGAATATACAAGATAAAGGTAACACATCTGTATCCTTGCCATTTTACTGAGGTGAAGGTTGGTTTTCCTAGAATGGACAACCATTCCTGCAAGCCTTTACATCTCTACCTTTATGTTGCGGTCCCACTGGACTCATAGTTTTTTCCAGAATAAGACACAATATAATTTTTTCATGCCATATAAAAGAAATATTTTGATTATTTCCATAAATAATACCTCCAAAGGTGTATTACCACTTGAGAATATTTGATTCCACAACTTTTTGATATTAATATCTTATCAGAGTTTATGAAGGCACTAAATTCAATAAAAATTCATCATAACATCATTTATTTGTAAAGTTAAGGAGAAATTATTAAACTCTTGCATCACTAAACCAGCTGAAGTTATACGCTAAATGGAAGGAAAATAATATCTAATTATTCTGGCATATCATATGTTTCTGGCATAGCATTTGTTTGACATTTTTAAGCCAAGCCATCCTGTCCTACACAAAAACTATTTAATGTATGTATATAACAACATATATGTATAACATATAGCAATATGTATATATAACATATAATAACAATGTTATATATAACATCATATATGTTGTTTTGACATGATCCTCAGTTTTCCCTGTGCACTGTCTTAAAGCAACCTAAGGGTTCATTGTGTTTTCATGGACTAATGTAAACATGGGGGGGTCCCCATCAGTCAGCCTTTTTTATCAAATATCAGCTAAAGAATAGCAGTGTATTTTTGACCATGTTTTCAATGTATATATTGGTATTAATTGATTATTGCCATGTTTGCTTCCCTAGGGTATAACATTTGCAAGCAGATTTTAGCAGATCTCTTTTTGAGCGGGGGAAATAATTCCCACTCCCTGCTACTGAACTGCAGAGGTCTCTTCCTGAAAGCTGTTGTAGTTATCTGCACTTATTTGGTAAGGTGGAGATCAGAATACAAGTTTAAAGCCTTAAAACCTCCCTTTCTTATTCCCAGTTACAGGAATTCATACAAGAAGAACATCTGCATAGACATGCTGCGCCGGGGTTATCACAAGTCCTTCTCTGAGCTCCTCACTCTGATCCAGAAGTGGAATGCCTTCAGGGAGGCTGCAGGGCCTGGGTCAGCCATATGGCATGAGAAGTCCCTGGAGGAGCAGCCTGATAAGCTGGATCAGCTTTCCCACTTCCTGACCGGGGCTGAGGCAGCCCGGCGAGCAGGTAAATGGGGGGATTGTGGGTAGCGGAGCAGCGGGAGCCGCAGCCGCCAGCGCCTGGGGGAAGCTTCCAAATTGTTTCATGTATGAATTTGAAACGCTACTGCATCTTAGCACATTGCAGCCTTAGTCAACTGAGCTGTATTTATAGAATAAATGATTAGGAGCTGCAGATATCAGGAGAGGTTTTGTGAAGGAAGGAAAAAAAAAGGAAAAAACACGCACAGTGAATTTTGATAACATCAGAAATGTTTGATGTATTTATAGCTTTGATAACATCTCAATTATTTTCTCATAGTTTCATTATTTATTGTTTTTCGTCCTCTATTGATTTGAGAAGCTGGGTTTGTATTAGAAAAATTTAATAGGTGAAATGCTGTTTCACACTAATACTTTTATAAATCTGTTTTTATTAAATACCCTGCTAACTGTGTTTGGATTTGTGACTGACTGAAAAAGGATTGTGAACCTGTCAAATAAAATACAGCACACAGATGTAACATGCCACCTGTGAATTACTAGATATTAGTGAAGACATAACTCCAAATTACTGTATTTTCTCTATTGCCTACTATTTACTAAGCACTATATTTATCATTTCCTTTTATTATAAATAGTAGCATAACTTACTCCATCTTTCTCCACTGGAATAATTGCAGGGATGGAGGCTGACAAAGCTCTACCTGCAATCTTGTTTCGTAGCTGAGTTGATATCAGTATAGTTGTCTTGTTTCAAGTTGCATTTTGATCATTACAAATATGAAAACCTACAGTAAAGCTTGTGAATTTGGAATCTAAGCTTTTTAACTGAAATTTAGAAACAGGCAACTTCATTTCAAAAAAAGGAACAGCAAAATAAACCCTTTTGGTACTTCCAAAAAATGTTAATTTTAAATGTTTATTTGATGCTTGCCATGAAAGCCAAAAGTTGTGTTTCTTTATTTAATTCACTGTAATTCTTAACAGGAAGGCCAGCCAACCATAATTGGAAGGGATCTTTAACTTTGCCTGGAATATGACTAAAACCTGGATAGGCACCCCTGTATCTTGCAGAATATGAGAGAGAAGTTTGAGGCTTGGACTGGCCTGGCAGAAGCATTCTGCCAATATCTGATGGTCAAAAAGTACTGGACATGGCTTATCTCAATGGGCCTGCTCCCTGCAGCCACTTGAGGAGAGCAGTTTGCCTGCCTTCAGTGCATGATATTTTTCAGTGTTACAGGCTGATGTGTGCCAGCAGAGATGGCAAACATGAGAGGCAAGGCATTCCCAGATGTGCAGTTCCTGCCCTTCTCTCACTGAGGCTGGCATTTCTTGTGTACTGGGCTCTATAAGTCTGTCACCTCTCCCAGAGACAAGGTACCACCACCAGCTGCCTGATTGCACCTTGCCTCTAAGAGAGAGTACCTCCCAACTTTGCCTGTTTAAAATGAAAGAAGAAAAAAATAATGAGGACTTAAGAGTTGGCAAGTGGTGTTACTGAATTGCTGGATCGGAGCATAATTTGTTTTGATTTTTTTCACCGGTTTCAATGCAAATCTTTGCAGACGTGTCTTGTTTGTATAAAATGAGGTTTGAGTTGCCTGGCAGATGAAGGAGTGGATGGTAATTCCTATTGCAGGTCTGAGAGCCAGCAGTGCTGTGAAGATTCACATGAATTGTGCAGCTCATCAAACACTAATTCAGTAGCTCTGCTAATCCGGTTACTCTCTGATTCTAATCAAATTGCTCGGGGCTCTGGCTTATGATCTCCTGACAACTCCAGTTGACACCATTTAAGAATCATTCAGCAGTTCACCTCAGCTAGAACTTACCATGATGTAGCAGCCACAACAGCAGCTGACCTGCATTTGCTCTTCAGCTGCCACAGTTCAAGCTTAAAAGGGTGAAGGTAATATTTGGGTCAGCAAGTGGTGAAAGTTTCATAGCGTGGTTGATGTTGCTAATATTAAGTTGGCTGAAATTTTACCTATCTCAGGTACCAATTGTGCTGAAAAAGTGACAGCAGCTGTACATGGTGGCCATAAAAATTCATTACTTGTAAGTTTTTTTTTTAATTGAAACGTCACAAAATGTTGTGTGGGATTTTAACCTGGAGTGGTATGTAGAAAGCAAAACGCTTACTTTGTCAGTAAATAATTTTCTTATTTGTTATTTAATTTTTTTCATCTGTTACTTTTGAATAGTAGGGTATTACTGTCTTAATTTTGAATATAACTTGGAACTTTGAATTTTAGAGTTTTATGATACTTACCGTAGTGTACAGAGGAAGCTATGTAAGCATTCAGTTTTCATATTTATTGGTGGAAAGTGTTAATATTGTAATGGTTCCCACAGGTTATTGTTCTAGGACACCACAATTCTGGACATAAATAATTTGCTTGAACTAAATCAGAGCCATTCATCACAATGTGCGGGTTGATATCAAAGAGCAATTACTTTCTTTACTGCTGTGTTTGAAAACAGTAGAATTTTGTTTACCAGCATTACACTGATTGCCTTTACACATGTCAGTAAAGGTTCTCTGTTTTTGTTTTTAATAGAATGTTTTGGTTGAACTTCAAATTATACAGGAGTTGTCTTATTTTTTTAATTTCCTATTACCAGTACTTTACTGTTTGCAAAGAAAACAGCTTTTATGGCCAACTTAAAGTCATTTTTGTTGCATTTGAATATCTCCCAAGTATTTTAAAAAATAGAGAGGGAACTTTAATCCTTGCAGCTTTTCAGAAAAATGACTGATGGGGTTATTTTGCCCTGACTTCAGCATTATTCTAAAAGCACTGGCAGAAATATTGCCAATTCTTGACTGTATTTTTGTCTTGCCTTCTTTATACAAGTAAAGTAAATGTTTCTGACTTCAAAATGGAGGGAGTTTTAATTATTCTTTGATGTTGCTTTATATTGGACTAACCTCTTTTTTTACTAGTTCTGGTTTCAGGAGCTTAGGGGAAAAAAGGAGGTAGTTGAGTTGTTTAAATATGTATATAGTTGTAGGTCTTTTTACAGAAGAATGCAGGATAAATGCCAGAGTAATGGATCTGCACAGCTCAGCATTTGATGTATCCAGTGATTTCTTGGCACATATATGGAAATACTGGGGATTCCTTCAAAAGGAAGCTGTATTTTGTATTTATCAGTACTGATAGTACTCTATCAATATAGAGTGAGCTGGTTTGCTTGTAGACATTAAAAGGAGTGCAAAGCAAGTTCCAGCTCAGGAACAATTAAAGGAAGAAGTGTTCCAGCTGTTAACTCTGCTTTGCCAGAGCAGGAATGCAAAACCAGGGAATGTGGCACAGTTCAGTGGCTGCAGCTTGTGCTGTGTGCTCAGCACTGTACTGCCAGATCACTGTGCCAAAGCCAGAGGATGGAATCCTTGGGTATGAACACCCCTTCAGAAGGGCAAGACACTGCTTATTAGCTGAGCCCTGCAGCAGCTGCTGGAAACCAGGAGTTAAAACCTGGGAGCTGCTGCCCTTCTGAGATTCCACCTGCTCCTGGTTGCTGACCCCACTCAACCTTTGTGCTATGCAGTGTGCTAAATGCTGAATCTGTGCATGTGCTGCAGGCTGCTGACCCTTGTTCTAGACAGTACCAGACACACAAATAGAAAGAAGTGACAACTTGGCTTTCTTTCCCTCACTTCAGTGTAGAGAAAAATTTTGACAGTATGAGTTAACATTTGTTTTTGTTGTAAAAGGTGTCTTTTCATAAAGTGTATGAAAGAAGCATGAGTATTTGATGTGCATGCTCTGGAAAATCTTTGTCCAGTATACTCAAGGTCGAAAACAGAGTTTAGCATTTTACAGTAGAAAGCTTTTTTGTAAGGTTATGCCTTAGGCTTGGGCTAGAAACATTGCAATAACCATGTTGCCCATGCTATTTTGAAAAAAAAAAATGGAAATAGGTTATGCCTTAAAAGAAAAAAGTATAAAAAACCCTCTTTTAATATTTGCTTGGATGAGGCTTAGTTTTGTTTGCTTTTGAGGGGCTGGGCAAGGGAATGCTGTTTTATTTTCTAAGCAGGTTTGTCACTCCCTACTTAATATTTTATCACAGGAAAAAATGCAGCAGTTGCTGGAGACCAGTGGAGAATTTTATTATTTTTGTAGTTATCTTACAAAATGTTGAAGTGATTCTGTCCAGGAAAGAAACCAAACCATCTCAAAATACAGCCACTTGTAGAACTACCATTAACTTCAACAGAAGGAGCACTTGTTAGAAGATTTCTGTAGTATGTTTTTGTTGCAATAGCTTGGAGTTCCCTTTTAGCATTCCAAATTACCAGTTAAAATTGACTCATATTATTATCTTTAGCTGGTTTTATCCTTTACCCAGTAAAATTATACCCTGACCATTCCCGTAGCATTTTTTTAATAGACTGTTCATTGATCAAGCATTTTTCCTATATGTTACCTGGCAGTGTTGGGAGTGATGTGCTCTGTGCACACTCTAGCAAACAGTTTCTGCCTGTAACTTGGTGTCATCGTGCTCACAACTCACTTTCTTCATTTGTGGACTTACAGCTAAACAGTCAGGAAAAAAGTTTATCCATTTGAGAATAAACTCTCTGGAAAAATGAGTGATTGAGGAGTCTTCTACCAATAGATATAGAAGCATCCTTTTTCTGAACAAGCAAAAGGGACTGATTCTTTGCCATGTATAGATCCAGGTGGAAATAACCAATTGCAGCATCATATTCAGCTGCAGTTTGTGCTTCTTTTTGGTCTAACATCTTCCATCCTGAATCTTTCTCTGTGTGAATTCTTCACAGCATCAGCTCTCTTTTGATTTTGATCTTTCTGGCAAAAGAAAAATTAGTCTTCCAGCACTGTGTCTCATTCTGACATAAAAAATTACTCCTAGTGATTTAATTGACCTTAGGCCACACCTTTATGTGCCTTCAAGAGTGAAGGGTCAGTTATAATCCAGTCATACACACTTTGAACAGCTGACTGCAGGATGAGTGTTAACACCTGTTGAAAAGTTTCCATATGGCCTTTGGCTGGAACAAAGCACTGACTGGTGGCTTTTTGAGTGGGAAATAAGGACTCATAGCTGGATGTTGAAAGATTTCTTTCTGATACCTGTAGTGTAAAAATCAGTGCAAGTTCTTCTTAATGGAAAATGGAACACCTGCCTATTTTATTCTTCAAAGGAAAGACCGAGCCAGGATCTCTTCCTGATGTTTTCATCTGTTCTCCAAAGACCATTCCTGTACTTCTTTCTCTTTCTTTCACTGCATCCTGTCACAAAGGAGATCATAGAGATATGGCAGCAAGTTGTACTTGAGTCACACTAGGATGGCTTGCTGGCTTTCTGTGTGTTTCTTTTCTCTCATGTTAGCCCTGTTGGGGTTCTCAAGCTGCACCTCACTATCCCTTGCATTGCACTACTTAGTAGTTGTCTAGCTGAGCACAGCAAGCATGCAGATATGGATCTGAGTGATCCTCTGTTCTGTGCACAGCCTTGCAGTTCTTGGGAAGAGTCCAGGAACAAAGGTATTGTTCAGTGGGCTGATCAGGGCCTATGGCTTGAGCACAAGAGGAGATGCTCCTTGGTAGCTGAGGTGCACCTAAAGAGGTCCTGATACAAAGCAGGAAATACCCTGTGTGTTTAATATCTGGGATTTAATGTTTAAGCTCAAGCTGAAGGTTTTTGGTTTTTTTAAATCTCTGTTTAACACAAAGATCACAGGAAGATTTGATAGGCCAGCACTCCTTTTGTACATAACACTCAGTTAGGGAGTTGGTTTTAATTTTTTTGATCAACAGATACCTAAAGATGACTTGCCTTACATGTATTTTATAATCAGTTGTAGAGAATGTACTCTACAAAACCAGAGAGTTCAAGGTTTTATAGAAGACAATATTTACCTATTCCTATATTCCTCTCCTGGGGGTGTAAAAGTTCACTTTCACTAAGTCTAACACTCTGGCTTTGCCACTGTCAGAATAGCATCAGTTAACTTCTTGGTCGGTAACTCAGACTTTGGATCCAAACCTGAATGACTTGTGAAAGTCTGGGGTGTGGGGTTTGTTTCATGGCCTGTGTATGGGGTCAGCCCTGCCCAAGGCAGGGCCAGAGCCAAGGTTGTCTTTGTGCACTGCTCATTGTTATGCACCGGCAGGATCCTCAGCACAGGTCACGTTAAAGTTCATTCAATCAAAGCCCTGGCAGTAGCTGGAGTCTACCTCGGGTCACTTCCATCCCTTGGGATTTGTAGGGCACTACCTGAAGTTATTTGCATAATTTTATGTCACATAAGTGCCTTGATACTTTGTAGCAATGATTTCAGAGGAGCAAATCTGTATCCAGAGTGTCTGTATCCAATGATGATCCAATTATCTCTTCTCTTTCTGGCTTATTGCAACCATTTGTATGCATCCTCTGGTATCTTTGAGTTCATTTTCACTTAGCTGTGATCTAATGTGTATTATTATCTTTATGTTAGTGGTTATAATTAGGTTTTGTTTTTTGCTGCTCATGTGATTGTGTGCTTGTAATCATGGGAAGCTCTGCCTCTACTTCTGAGATAATCTCTAAAAGCGTTCCCTTGTGCTGCAAGCATTGTCCAAGTCAGGATGAGATAAATCTCACCCAAGAAATATCTGCTTTTCTTCGCTGAGAGAAAAGAAATCCTAGGTAACTCCTATCTGTGTCTAAATTGGTTAGTTTGGATGAGTCCCAACTGGATGTTGACTTTATCTCTGTGTGTTGTCCTGGTTTTGGCTAGGATAGAATTAATTTTCTTCTCAGTAGCTGGTACAGTGCAGTGTCTTGGATTTAGTATAATGTTGATATGTGGGATAGATAATGATGTTGCATAGATGTATAAATATATGTTATATACAAATACAGGCATATATGTATACGTGTGTGTGTGCATGTACACAGGTAAATACAGGTATATTAAGCCCAACCCGGTTTTTTAATTTCCATTCCAGAGTCATTTGAAGATATTTTTATGAGGCTATTGTACCAAAATAGTCTTAATTTCTAATGTATAAATATGTTTTATATGATGTAGACTCCAGGATATTCTGAAAAAGAGGCACCCAAAGGTACTTTTTCAGTCCTGAGGTGAAACAAAAGGCATGAAAATTCACAGTCATGAAGAATATTCAGATTAGGAATACATGAAGTCTGTATATTGATAATTATTCCTCTAAAAGCTGAATTTCGAAACTTAAGCTGATGTTTTGGTTTAAAACCTTAGATGCATACGATGAGATGATAATCTAAATGTAATTTCTGTGCTATTTCTTTTCTGGTGATTTTAAAGAGATTGTGAATCACTCATTTATTGGAAAGGATGTTATCTCTTTTAAAATATTAAAAATAGAAATGTATATAATATACATTGCTTCAAAATAATAATTTTATATATTTTAATGGAAATTATTAGAAAGAAATCTGAGGTTACAACTTCATGGAAGGCAGAATTCTGAGAAAATAGATAAGAAAGCAAAATAATAAATAAAATGAATAAAATAGCACGTGCAGTAAAAAGTAGTATTGTTTACTATTAGAGGATGAATTTTTAAATCAAAAGATAAAAAGAGTGTTCAAGAATGGGGAAAAGGTTTCAGCTCAATTTCAAAAAACTTGAAGCAGGAAGAATTAAATGTTCTCTGAAATTACCAAGATGGAGAAAAAAGGAGAAACAAGTAGTAGATGAACATCTTGAAGACTACAGACATGATTAGGTAGTAGCCCTTTTTCTCAAAAGAATGAAGTCCTTACTGTATTGTGCAACACACTGAAGAACTTTATCAAGATAGAAGTCAAATAACAGTCGTGACAATAGAGAGAATGAGAGATTTACATTTCTTCAATTAGATTATATGTAATTTGTAATTTTAAGACAGAACATACTAGAGCTGATGCTGACAAATCCTTCTTGTGTGGTTTAGTGATGAATTTAAAATACTTGTTTGAGTAATTGCTGCTGTGTGTTCCAAATAGTGCAAGTGAGTTACATAGGTGATTCAATTTTGAGTCATTTAGCTCATCCTTTTGGAAGCTGGATTTCCCCCAGTTCTTCTTGTAGATAATGGAAGAAGAGAATCTTTTGATTGAAGTGTTTTAGAATGGCTGTCATAGTTTTAAAACACTTGGGAAAGATCTGGACTTCAAGATCTTGCCTACACTGAAAAGATTTATTTTTTATCAGTTGATTTCTGTGTGGTGCTCCATTCCCAGAATTAAGAGGGGTTTTTCTTTTCTCCATTCTCTCTCCTTTTGAGCAAAGCTTACAAATTGCAGAGCTCCTGAAAACAAAGCAGTTCTGTTCACACACCCAGTTTAACCAAAAAGTCTCTTACCTGCTGCCAGACATGTGCTTAACTCCTTTCTACCCATTTATGTGGAAATTCCTATTAGAACTGGCTGTTTGGTTCATATTCATTTAACAGCCACAAACACACTAAGTAGCCCACCAAAACTGCAATGGAATTTTACCTAATTTTTCACATCAGGTTCATGCTCTACTTTATTATTTCATAGATTTTTCACCATCATATAAGAAATAGATCTTTCAAATTCACTAACATTTGTCAGGAAAGTTTTAGATTCTATTCCAAATTAGCAAAGTTTTGGAATAATTCAAGGCTGGTATCTTGTGGGATTTTTTTTAAAGGTGCTCTTCCACAGGCAATAAGTTGTTATTCTGTAACTTTAAATTGTGGATAATTTTGTATTGCTGCATAGATTTAGGACTTGCAGATTTTTTGTAAATTTTAGGGATAATGTATGTTCATTCAGCTCTCTGAGATGATAAAGAGTAGAATCCAAACTTCAGGCCATGGAGAAAATCTGTGACTTAGAATCCACTGCTTTCCACATTTGTTTTGAGAACAATTCCTTGGTGAACTGGGTGGGGGGTTCCTAGGGAAATGGGTGCAATTTCAGTTTGTCTTTAATTTCTAAGAATGCTAAGGTATTAAACATGGGAATATACATGAAAACTCAAGGCCTCTCTTGTAAGTCATACTTTGAACATGTAAAATTATATGAATTAATGGATTGTGTTTGCAGAGTGTTCTTTTTGATTCTTATCTTCATCAAAACAGTTGTTACCTTATAGGTCCAAGGTTTGGAAAACTCTTAGGCCTTTTCATGGCCCAGAGGCTCAGACAAATGCTTCTCCAGTCTCACTCTGACTTGTCTTTTGACTAGCCTGGATAAAACTAGTGTTTTATCCAGGTTCTGCTTGATTTAACTGAATTCTGGTTTTGCACACAGAAATGAGAACAAAAATGTTTCCAATTGTGCTTAATTTGTAAGATTATAATTTTCCTCTTCAACTTCTCTGAGTGAACACATAGCAGAACTTGATGGCATTTGAATGGAAGAAATAGAAATAGCTCTTAATTTTAATTGTGATTATTGCTATAACATGCAAAATTTCTGAACACTGATGATAATATAACATTTTTATTTTGATTTTTGTTTTTAAAGGGCACTATGAGAAGGTGTATGATAACCAGCTTAGCTTGGCCTGCTGTTTCAATGACCCTGAGGACAAATGGTTGAGTAACTACTTCTATGAGCAAAGCTATCACACAGCTCAATTAGTAGAAGTTGATGGTGGGAAGAGAAAGGCACAAGGATATCTAAACATGGGCCTCCTTGAAGAGGAAGAAGGTAAGGCACTGACATCACAAAGCTGCTTTGGATGGCATCTCTAGTTACACAAACTGGGCTGCATTAAAAGAGCTGGGGACATGTAGTTCTGTAATGTTTAATCCTGCTTCTGATTTACGCTTAGATAAACATCCTGTATTTTTGTTCTTTTTAAAATGACCTTCTGGTTCTCTTGTCCACAAGTGACACCTTCTTTCTTTGTTCCTGACTGCCATATTGGTGTTTGCTTCAGACTTAGACCTCACCACCACCTCCCTTTTCCCATATACATCCTTAAACTGGGAGTCTGAAATCAGAAGATATTAATACAAGTAACTAGAATCATAGAACAGCCTGAGATAGGTCCCTCTGAGGGACCTTGACAGATGATCTGATCCAACCTTTCAAGGGAAAGGGAGCCTAAATGGGGTTATTTTAGCACCCTGTCAATTGCATCTTAAAAACCTCCAGTGATGGGGGCTCTACCACATCCCTGGGGAGCCTGTTGCAGTGAACAGTTGTTCTCACTGTGAACAATATTGCTTTCTTATATCAAGGTGAATATTGTTTCTGTATTTAAGAGCAGATATTACCTTTCATGGCATAGGGGTTTGTGCATGGATAGCAGTCTGAGTACAAAAAATGCATTTTCCTTTGTTTGCCTAAAATCCTTTCATGGTGTGGGAGGGCAAGCAATGAGTAAGCCTCAAGTAATTGAATAAAGCCTGTCTTCCAGTTCTAATTTGTAAATTTACTGCATGCCTAACTATTGCTTAAAATATGTGATTTGTGTAGCCACAATGGTTTTGTTTCTGAATTTGACTGTGGTTTGAAACAATTCCAGCTCTGAACTCAACTTGTGGCTGGTTTTTCATGTAAAGTGGCTTCTCTTAATAAAAAAAAAAAAAAAGACAGAAATTGAAATATTTTGTGGAAATAGTCTAATTCCATTAAATGTCTGGTGGAATGGATGTGTTTTGAAAGATGGCCCCATTTCCCAGCAAAAGTCTGGATATAAAACAAGAAGTCTGCAGCCCTTTTTATTTTATTGAAAGGGTGTTATCCTATTTTTTCCTCTTGTTCTCTTGCAGCTGACACATGGCACCTTTTTTTTTATATTTCCTCACATCTTTCTAGACTGATGGTCATTCACTCTGTTTTTCTGTGAACTGTTGTCTTATCTTTCTTGCCTGCAACGCTCAGACCTGGATTCAGTTTTAAAATTTGAGCACGTACCAATAATCAATCAAATGGAAGGATTAGTTTTCCTACTCATGGTATCATCCAGTTTCCCAGTTGATAAGATAAGAAATTGCTTAAAGCCCAGCCAGTTAAACCAAGTCATTTTCATTTTGAATGAAAAATGCTTAGGTCGGTTATCTATTCTTACTCAGTAGAATAAAATTACTGAAAATTTGCTGGATTTTAAATTTTTTTTGCAACCTTTTTGCTTGGTCCTTTAGTTACTAAAAAATAAAATTTTAAGGTGCAGACAAGCAAACATTCATCTCTACTTGTAACTTCAAAGGCTCTTACTGAGTGTGACTCACTGCTGTTACCCAAGCACTGCCTAAAAAAAAAATTTAATGTTTTCTACTTTAGGATGTCTTAAGTAAAAGTTGTTGAATACTTAAATATCTTGAGGCCCATTATAAAAGCACATAGGTAAAGTTATGAAATAGCCTGAGATAATCAGAGAAGCAGAAAGTTTATTTTCTGCTGAAGAATATTAGAAACTTTTAGAAGAGAAGCTTCTTATTAACAAGAACTAAAGCAAAGTGGATTTTCAGTGCCCAGGGAAAAACTTCACTGAACCTGTGGGCTCTGTCTGTTGAAAGTATTTTATTTCCAGAGAGAGGTAAAAAAAATAAAGAAGCTGAGAGAGTAAGCATAGGATTTGCTTTGAGGGACCACCAAGAAAAAAAGACAGCAGATGTATTCCATGCACTTTGTATTTTCAAGGGTGAAAAATTGATTCAAGGGCAAGTTTTGATTGGAGAAAAAGTATAAGGATTGGGATGGCATTATATAATATTCCATCAGTTTTAATGGTGTTAAAGGTAAAATTTTAATTCTGTTTTTTCTTTTGTTCAGTTATTTATAATTTGATAATTAATTTGTGAAACAAATTAGTCAGATTTCCTCTTCTCTGGAGGTGTATCTACAGGAATAAATGTAAACATCTGGTCCCAGTTATTTTCAGTTCTCTTATCCAGTAGTGTATTTTTCATTACTTGGGAAAGGAAGCTGTCTGTATATGCTTAGGACTGATTGCTTGGGAGTATAAAGTTAAACATGGACTTGTAAAGATTGCTGTTTGCCTTGGAAGAAAATCAATAAATTTGCTGGGTAATTTTTGTGTAATCAAATTTAAAGTTCTTTGACTTTCAGCCTGGTCCCTGTCCTAAAGGCTGGATATAACCTGATGTTCATTAATCTTCAAAGCTAAATATTTGAGGTGTTGGTGGTGTAGACTTCAGTCATGATATTTGGATGCAGGCCATTAGTAGCTGCCAGTAAGGGAAAGAAAACAATAAGTGAGTAGCCTGCTACAGAAACAAATGGAATGTTCTGCTTGGAGCAAACATTATTTTAATGGTATTTCTTCACAGAATGAGATTTTTTACCTCTTCCCTAAAATACTTTGCCTGTAAAATAAGGTGTAAAGCATTTACTGATTATTGTAGGAGTGTTCAGATTTTGATGCTGTTCAGTTAGCTGTGCTACCCACCCCCACCCCCCCCCCAGTTTTTCTTTCGTCAGAGGGCTGATAATAAATCATTTTATTACTTTTGTTACTCATTATTTTACTTTATTTACTCATTTATTACTTATTTTTTCACATAGCCCTTTAATGTGCTGATGTTACTTTAGAGATACTGAAAATGCAATGACATAACACATTTTTCTCATGTTAAATCCAGAATTACTTGTTGACTAAGCACCAGCTTTGTGATAGAATCTCTTAAGAAATGTGAGTTTAAAGAAAAAACTTTTCTTCCTGTGTTTTCAATGTATTTTCAGAAGTAATATCAGCCATTATAAGCATATAAGAGAGTAAGATTATAATCATAGTTTATGATAGATTATATTACTGTGCTTTCTGCTGAAGTTAATTGTGAGCTTGAGGTTTACAGTGTTGTATCTTGAAGAAGAAACAGTTGGAGTCCACTGAAAAACACACTGTTTAGTATGGTTTTGTACAGGTTCTTACCTCATTGCAATACTTGAGTGCTTTCTGTTTTGTGCTAAATGCTTGCTACCTATCATGCATGAAGTGATATGCACCTTAAATATATGCATCCCAAATTTTAAGATAATTTATGTCCATAAAAAGAGCACTCTGGGGGAAAACAAGGAGTTTGTACTTGTAGGAGCTCTTTGCTTCAAATATGTTACAACAAAACCAGATAAATTTCTATATTATTCAAAAGCATAGCTCAACCAGACATCTGAACTTAGGGTACCTGTCAGTTGCAGTGCTTAGGAACATTTCTGGATACACTTAAATGACTGTTTGAGAAAGCATATAAGTATCACAGTAGAGTCCAATGAATAAAACTTTCACAATTAATTGCAAATGTGTATCAGTGCCACTCCAGAACCTGGATCTCCCCTGCTATGAGAGCTGTAAGATGTGTGGAAATGATGCCATTATTCTCAAGGCAGTGGTGACTTAGAATTAGTCATCAGATTTATATTTTGCCAGCACAGAAGGATCAACAAAAGTGGAGGTAATACTTTTTCTGAAGTCTTTACAGGCTGAAAAGATTAAAGCTAGGCAGAACTGGTGAGAGAAAGGGAGCAAGTACAAAACAATGTTGGCAATCTCAGAGCTGATTCCCACAACATAGAGCTAATCCCCAAACCCAGTTTTGTCCATGTAGCTGTGTTTTTTAGATTGCAAGCCTTACAAGACCTCTATAAGAAATTCCTTTAGTTCCTTCTAAAATAGCTTAGACATTCCCAAAATCTGCCATATTCTGCAAGTTAATGAAGGGTTTATAAGTGTTCTGTCCTAATCTGCCTCTGCCTTGATTATAAGCAATGTTAAGGTCTGATTGCTTTTCGAACAGAGCAATGTTATGCCAGAGTTGATCACTTTGTACCTACCCCCAAAAAATTAATTAATTGTGCCTGATTTATTTGAAAAGGTGTAATTGTTTTATCTGTCATCCTGGATAAAATATGTTCTCTTTCATATATTGGAATTTGATAGAAACTTCTCTGGTTGAAAGACCTACTGAATGGGAGAGACTTTTAAGTGTCATTTATTTGTTAGGGAAAAAAAGTCACAGGATTCTTGCAGATTTTAACAATCTCGATTGAAACTGAGTATAGGATTTTCCCTGTCACTTTGCCATTGTATTGAAATTGAAGTTTTTATTAAGGCATTGCAGAAATTGATAGAAAGGTTCAGATTGTGTTTAAGGGGCATTTGACAGAATGTCTGGATTGGAAGGAACCTCTGAAGATCACCTAGTCCAAATTCCCTGCTAAAGCAGGTACACCTGAAACAAGTTGCACAGGATAGCTTTGAGTTATGAAGCTTAACTATTAATTACTGGATATATTTGCTGAACAACAACTTAAAGATGGATCATGACATCTTTTGGCTTTGGAACATAAAAAGTCTAAACCGTTTATTTTCTTGTTCTTAGTCAAGAAATTCTTGCTAAGAATCCATTCTTACTACGAAATTGTTGATTTCGTATTTTGAATTGTTTATGGCAAGTGCTTTTTAATTGAAAACTGTAATGTATAAATAATTGAGAGAAACTCAGCATAAATTCATGAGTATCTATGCAGAGGAAATATGCACGTTTAAGCAGAATTTCCCCAATTGGTTTGCCTTCAGGCAGAAATAATTTATATTCAGATATAAAAAAGAGAATGTTAATATTGCAAAATGAAGTACTAAAAAGGTTTAAAAAGGCAAAAGTTAAAATTGCTTGTGAAATTTCATATGCTTTTGTGTGTGTACAATTTGCAGCTTTATTTTAATTACATAAAAATATAGT